TAATTGAAACCACTGGTGGTGAATGACCAAAAAAAAGGCTATAGACCAAAAATGAACCGCACATTCACCATCGCAAATCCCAAACAATATCAAAGTAAAGTATGTGTGTGCAATAACGCAAACTCTCATACTGAACTGCTTCCAAGAGACAAGACATGAATCAAACACAGCAAAATGAACAACATCCCAAGAAACGGGGATCCTCCAGCAAGTGAACATAGATGTGATTCATCTAAACGTTAAAAACTCCATGAAACCCATGGGTTTCCCTGGCCTCCGCCCAGGTGCGGAGCACTTCTGTCTCCTCACACCAGCATCCATGAGATCAAGAGAATGAACTCATTGATATGTATGGTATGTTCAGAGGATATGTCATATGTATGATATACATATATCATATATATATATATACATACAAAGATATGAAATGATCCATTAAGAAGATATGTCATGGTAGAAGAGCATTTGTTGACAGTAAAATCTTTGAACATTGACTTCTGATGACTTCTGACGACTTTGGGGAGGAGTTCATGTACTACTTCGCCGCTTACGAATACAATTGATCGGGTTCAACATTCTGCTGAAAAGTTGCTGATCAACGGAGAGCATCGCAACCTTAAAGTGGAAGAGTCTATATATATATATATATATATGGGGAAAAATCTGAAATAAATAGGCTGTACCTCAGGCCCAACCCCGGGCAGTAATTGGGTCACAATTCCATTGCTTTTTGTTGCGTTGCAAACCTGGGCTTTTTCACCTTTCAGACATAGAGCAGCATGGAACCACAAATTATAGAAGGTTGAATCATGTTGGATCTCCACATCTGAGTCCTGTCTTTGGGTTTGTCCGGAAACTTTATAGAGGAATCCAGTTTTTGTACGTTTTTGTTATAGTTTCTGAAATGAACTAAACCTTCATTCATGCTGGCCATTATCTCCAAAACATGTTGCCTTTGGATCTTTTGAATATTCCAGCGATGTTTGAGACCAGCTTGAAATCACAAACCATCAATTGCAACAACATATCTCATTGATGTTGGTAAAACAACATCATAAACCATCCATAATTTGATGGTTAGAATCCCATCCATCAACAAAATTCCAAATTTGGGAATGGTTTATTATTGCGTTTCGAAATGTTACGAACATGATATTCCCACTTTCTGGTTGGTTCAAAAGCAACATTCATTCTGATGTTTCGAGCCCCCGGTTTGCGAACTGGAAGCCATGGCCGATGGCCCATTTATCCTATAAAAAATGATGATTTTCCATAGCTATCTTATATATATATCGTTTCACTGTCCACCAGGATGGCACTCCGGGGGTATCTCCATTTAGGAGATGGTCAAGGGAAAAAAACAATGATAAACCACAGATGCTTTAAGGGGCTCTATGTTTTAAACTTTTTAAGGGGAACCAAACTCAAAACAACAAAAAAAAACAAGCAAACTCATTTACCTAGCTGAGATTGCTGAGCTTCCAAGGCAGCCCAGCTGAATGGGACCCAGTGACCTAAGTGAAGTTAAGCCTATCTGAAAGTGATAGATATAATGATATATGATATACCCACCACTGAAATCCTAGTTAAACTCTAGTTTTTTGTGGGTAAAACAATGCCATAAACAACCCATTTGGGAATGGTTTGTACCACCTATAAAACATGGTGATTTGGAGGATGGTGTAATCCTCTCTCCGTATTACTAAAACACCTCCCCCAAATGGTAAATACGGTGATCTATTCTTATTAGAAGGGGGTATTTTGTATTAGGGTGCCCCTAATATTCCAATGAAAAATCTAATAATAAAATTAAAAAAGCTCGATTTCAAATTTGATTAAATCCCTTATGAAAATCTATATAACATGTTGCCAAAATCTGGAGTTCGAAGCTTTCCCCTAATATTCCAATGAAAACCTTAAAAATAAAAATAACAAAAACAACTTGTGAGATGGGACCCCCTAATAAAAAACCTCCAGGTGGCAATCTATTTTTATTGATAGGGAGTTGAACCCATTGTTTCACCGTCCTGTTCTCCTATTGATTCTCAATCAATTACCACAATTAAAAATCCAATTGTGCCCAACCAGAAAAAACGGAAGTGCCACACCAATACTATTTTTTTCTATTTGGGGGAGTTTTTGTATTAGGAAGAAGGGATTATGATTGTTTTACCAACATTAAACTGTAGTTTCTTTTCACCAAAGGGGGCTTCAGGCCAGTCCTCTGAGCGAGCCCGAAGTGGAGGCTTAGACGTCCACCTGCAAATTCAGGTCAACCATCCATGGTGGACCCAATTTGACAATGACGTTAAGACACGGTGGTTGATGGTTTATAACTGATTTTTATAGCAAAATGATGGTTAATGGTTTATAACTGGTTTATAATGATGGTTTTAACTAATGATGTATGATTTGTTTAAAACTGCAGTTTTCCTGTTTGTTATCTTATATGGCCGAGATGAATTTTGTGTTTTGTAGCTTATGAAGAATAAACCCATACAGTTCAGCCCATCAGATCTTTAAAGCTGAACTATGCCTATCTTACCAATCATTGTTTAATGCCAGGTCGCTCTGAGGTTTTGATGATTCGCCCCGAAGAATGGGAAAAAATATGGAAAAAGTAGATCCATGGATGACACACATGCCAAGATTTTGTGTTATATATATATATACATATTATATTATACACAGTGTATTTATGTCTCATCTCTGGAATGGATTAGAAGACATGCAGCTTGTTACATCATACTTGAACTGGCTAAAACGAGACAACATGTCTCTACGCACTTCTTTTAATCCGCGGTTGGTGGCTTCACCCAATAAGAAAACACTGCGATTTTTAAAATCATCACTTAAATAAGTTGGGAGATACACCATGAAACATTTACATTGATTTATAATATCAACTCTGGATTAATAAACCATTGTTTGTTAAGAAGGGGTACTCCCCAAATAGTGATAATCTGATACTTAAATGTACCCCCCACTTACACAGCCGCTTGGGCCTTATTTAATCCAGGGTTGACGTCGACGTGACCCGTTTTTCTTGCTGAGTTCACCATGTTGAACGACCGGCCTTGAAGGCTGTTCGTCCATCGCCATGTAGCCCTGCCATGGCTGGATTCGATATGCTGTGCGCTGTGACCATATGGCCCCCCATTACCTTCTAGTAAGCTAACATAGCCAAGGAAAACGGTCCATTTATAGATGATTTACCTCTTTTAAATCTAAAATGGCGATTTTTATTCGCTATATTTACATGTCAAAGCACCAGAAGGTATCCCAAGATATCCCAAGTATAGTTCTCCTCAATTTCATTCCCCGGATTAAAACCAAGTGCGCCATGGTGTCTTAAAACACTGGCCAGTGAGGTTGCTATAAAACCCAAATGGACCAGATTTGGACCACTAACCACTTCTGAACAACAGAACATTGGTGGATTCCCCATCTTGCAGCAGGTCCCTGCTTGACTTATAAATTGGTTCTTGGTGGTGACAATCCCATACTGGAATATGGTGTGACATCATGAACATAGTGCCGTTTAATTTAAACGAATACATATTATATATATATGGTGCTACTATTGAAATCTTTAACTGGGAATTACAGTAAAATATATTAATATGTAAAGTAAATTGTAGCACGTTGGTAATTCCCATATTGTTTGCAGTGCCATGGTGAATCTTTCGTGCATCACGTCTTGCTTGCCGCCCAACCGTTCGCCTGAACGGCGCCGTGAGGAAAAGCGCCGTGAGCAAAAAAGGAGGACCCCTGACCTGGCACCACAGGCGCTGTTCCCACAGTGGGTCTTGTATCCATCATGTCATTGGGTCAGCAAACGCCCATGTGTGTGTATCTGTACATACATATATATATATATATACACATCATTCTAGATCTATAGGACATGTACCAACTCAATTTTGTTCTCTCCGTGTACCTGCCCAGCTGGAAGTTTCCTGGACATCCCAGGTTGCCGCCATTCCTGGGATCGCTGAACACCGCTTCAGGGCTTTCAAAGGGTCTCAGTTGGTGTTTAGAATTATGTTCTAATGACTGGTGATGATTATGACTGATTAAGCATCTTATTTTGGCTCTCTCATTTCGGTAGGATTATGACTGGTGATTATAACTTATAACTCTGAAACAACTCACTCATTTTTTTAGACTGATTAAGCATCTTATAACTGGTGATTTTTAATCATTCTGGGGTGGCTGGTGATATTCTTGAGATTGAACCGCTTTACCTTCTTTTAAAAATAAGTGGAGATATTATGGGGTAATAAGCGGTGATGCAATTGGATACTGTATCAATTGTATGTGTACATTCACGTACAGTGTGTAAATATACGCTCTCTCTCTCTCTTATATATATATATATGTATTGATACATATATATATATATAAATAAATATTGATATATATATATTGATATATATATACACCGGATATTGTGGTGATAATGGGCATCATTTTGACCCACAAGTGGGGAGCCACGATTTGAACGATACAATTTGTGGGGGGTTTTGGTGGGATCAGAAGTGGTGATTTCACGCTTGAATTACATAGGAGATGGGGGATTTAACCAACCACAAACATATGGACCATTTATTGAACATACAATGATTTACACATGTATATAAACATATATATATATGTATGTATGTATGTATGTATTATAAAAAAAAGCAGTTTCAAGTGACTGGAAATCCTGACCAAAAATTCCGTGATGTATGAACAGAACCTATTGGGAGGGCAGGTTCAGGGTTGTAATTTGTGATTTACTGACAGACCCCACGAACCCAAATGTATGTCACAAATACCTTTTCTTCTTGCAAAATTGCATTGTTGTGACTCATACTCATACATTAGACTCAACATATAATTGAGGGATTAATTCCAAAGCCTTACGCGGAGATTACTAGATACCACATGATACCGCTCTATAAGAAACATGACATGGCGATCAACAACAGATTTTTGACGCACTTTGTTAGTATCTAACCAACCAAATAGCGGCAGTCATTGTCTTGTCCTCCCTGGCTCCCATCAAACTTGTCAATTGGGGTTATGATTTGCAGTAAAATGCAAAATGAAAACATTTAAGACACAGGCAACCAATTTTCGCTGCCGATCTACACATCTTGGTAAGTTCCTTGGTCAAATTGTTAATTGAGAACACACGCGTCATTTGGAGGCTTCCTAAAATGGGGATACTACCCCTTAGTCATCCATTTTAGTGGGACTGTCCGTTATAAACCATCCATGTTGGGAACCTCCATTTGAAATTTGTCTTTCGCAACTCTGCTATCACCTGCAGCTGGATGAAGTCCTATCTCTACATACATCCACTATGATATACAATAACTTGCATAGATAGTCATACACATTACTATATGTAAGGAACATGCTTGCGTAGTCTAAAAATGTGTCTGTCTATCTATCTATCTATCTAGCTATCTATCTATCTATCTATCTATGTATCCATCTATCCATCTATCGATCTATCTCTCTCTTTGTAAACATATGTATATATATATACACATACATGGAATACTGTGAGGTGAGGTTTCCTTCCAGCCTTCCGCCCCATCCTCTGGGATCATGGCCATCAGCATATCCGTCCACCATGGGATCGTTTCCCTGGTTTTGTCTGGTTCACCCTGGTGACAACCCAGAAAATTTAGCCGGAATTTTCTAGAAAACCCATATCCAATATCCATTTTTGGGAAAACTTTGTTTATTTTCACATCAGACACAGTTCAACCCCGTGTTCTCTTGGTCAACCACCTCATCTATCTTCATCTCTAATGGTTCTATGAAAGGCTTAGGGCTTAGCCATTAACAAACAAACGTGAAAAGGCATTGAATAAGTGACTCGAAATAGCCAAACCAAATCTCAAAACACACACTTGGGCATCTGATTCAAAAATATCAATACATGGAGGAGCTGATAGGAAAATGATGATATTGGACCAAGAACAGCTTCTTATCAAATTCAGCACAAATTGGGACAACACATACAAACATCCCCACATGTTGTTCCCTGGCGCCTCCGCCCAAGCATCATAGCCAGCATAGTCCTGCCAAGATAGGGGTCATGACTGATACAGTCTAATGATATATCATAATATATCCAATCTTTGGAATATGTGATTTTGCATGGACATGTTGGGTTATGTTGAATTCAAACATACAACAGCATCTCCAATAAAGATAAGCGAGTATCTACAGTCCAATATTTTGGCCCATACCTATGTGTAGGGTTAGCATTAGGCCTTTAGCAAGCACGTTTTTTTCAGCACCAGCAGCAATCCGTGAATATGACAGTTCACTGGACATTACCTTTTGGCCTTATTTCCAATGTACCCTCTGGTTACCTAACATAGCCATGGGAAATAGCCCATTTATAGCGGTTTACCTGATAAAAGTGGTGATTTTCCATGGCAAATTGTTAGTCATAACCAGAGGGTATATTCTGTATAATAATGGTAAGAAGCACCAACCTGAAATGCGGCCCTCCCGGCCGGGGATGATTCCCCAATCTGTTTGATGGTCTTCATGGTGTAGATCTACCATTCGTTTGGATTCACTCAAAATTAATCTAAATTAATCTGTCTATTTCAATATGTAGTTCAATATTCCTCCGCATATGTACATATATATATAATTGTACATATATATATAATTGTACATATATTATATATGTATAATTGTACATATATATAATTGTACATATATATATAATTGTATATATATGTATATATATATATATACACAGTATATATGTATATTTTATATTATTATGTATACTTAATTTCAAATCTCCACATAAATAGGTGGGTTTGCCATACTACCCATATGTTCGCCCCTGTCACTGCCCTGCACTGCACTGCTCCTCAATGGCGTGCCCGGAATGGCCATGGTCAATCTGCCAGTGCCACTGACGCATTTTGGTTTGTCTCATGCCCATATTTAATAACTGTAACATACTGTAACCCAATGATATCCCAAACCTTTGCTGAGTTCTATCCAGATTCTGATTTTGATTGGCAACATTCCCAATGGCTTTTGAAAAACAGCTGGTTGGCGGTTGCAGCCCATCTGAGAAAAAATTACCAAACTCATATTTTACAACCACCGACTTGATAATTGTTGAGTTGTAGTGAGGATATCATTTGGTTAAAACTCAACATGATGTGGATTTGATGGGGATGTACCGGCCAGAAAGTTGTCGCGCCAATATGAACAACACCACAATGTTATTTTTCTGAATCCCTTGGCGGATAGCAATTTTGAGGAGAAAACGGTGATCAACACGGGGATATTGAGCGCCAAAAGTGGGGATGTATATTAACACTAACTTTGAGCATCCACTTGTTGGTGGTTGAACCACGCATGATTCAAATATGAAAGTCCATTGGGAGGACCATTTTGGAGGGGTGTGGGGAACTTGCTACCAGTTCAATTGAATAATCATAGACATGACCCCAACCTGCCCAAGCAGCAACTGAATTTGCAAATGAAAGTGATTTTGTGCAGCGTGTTCTTTCTGGAGCTACCTACGCCGGGCTCACTTTTCGCTTATACGCTCACAGTCTTAGCCACGGAAGGGAAGATTGAGACAGGTTGCCTAAGGGAACTTGCCGGACTCGGGTTTGATGCAAGTTCAACTTGGTGTTGCCTATGCCGCCATAGTTTTAACCACATGTTCGCATGATTTCGCATCCTCTTGCCATCTTTGAATGTTGGAGAGGAAGAAGGCAAAGGGAATGAGGGCAGTGCCGCTGTGCAATGGCTTTGACGTGGTGAGAAGACTCAAGTAGACACAAGTCTTCATAGGGAGGGGTGTCTGACATACCAGTGGTATTCTGTTCTACTACTTGTGCTGCTTCTTGGTTTGACAGTTTCTACCTGCTACTTACTAAGCCCTCCAAATTGCCAAAACGTGGCAAAACCAAACCAGAAATTCACCGTTTCACCCTGGTTTAACCACCAAAAATGATGCATGTCGCTGAATCTCTTGTGGAACTCTCGTGTTTTCTTCCAAGCCTTGGTTGCAGCATACCATGAATCCGATCACTTGTCTACTGGCGTGGTACCCGTCGTTTTGAATCAACCATGAGCAAGATGCTTATTGATATTCGCGCCAGTAAAACCGCCATTTCTGTAGGTTAAACCATGTTAAACCATTGTTAAACCATTGTTAAACCATGTTACCCTCTGGTAAATTAACATAGACCCTGGTAGATAGGGGTTGGAAGATTAGTTTCCACTAAAAATTGGTGATTTTCAGGGTCTATGTTAATTTACCAGAGGGTAAAACATCATTTCTCTGCTCAAATGTCAGGGGTCTGAAACTGCTTCACCCGAAAGCGCCTCCATGTTCCAGGCGGTTGCATCCTCGGTCATCTCAGCCTCTTCCTAGCGACGGTCCCTGATCCCAAGGTGGACATGGGGATGATGCTTGGACGTGCATCCCAACTAGCAAGTGGTTTATAACCCATGCGAAACCACGTATGATTATACAATGTCTATATATAATTATATATTATATATATCATATACAATCAACAAAAAAACAACTGACTGGGCTAGTATGGTCCTTGCCCACTTAGAAACTGGAAAGCCAGGGCTCAGGGGTAAATCCTCATATTCCCCTATCGCATCGGGACTAGCCAAGAAAAGATCAGCTGCACATGTTGCTTCCATCCTTACCTTGTCACTATGAAAAAATCATAACCTTGCTGAAGTACAATAGTTTGAAGGTCTTTTGAGGTGAATCAGGGGTATATCACCATATCATGCTGACCTGGTGAGGTTCTTATGATCAAACCTTTCATGATGTGTCCATTAAAAGCTCCATTGCCCATATCCAACCTTAGATACCATGCTGGTTAGGTTACCAACAATCCCCATCCCCATCAAGATAGCCACGGATTATATGATTAGTCAGTCAGTACTACTGTACCCATCCAGTTGGTTGACCAAGTTACAATTACATACAGTTACTATACCGTTCATACTCATTCCAATCCCAACCATTGTTGGCTTATATCATTGTTAATCCCATTCCCAGATCCTATCCCCTTGAGATTCAAATTCACCGAGATTGTTGACGCTTCATAAACCCCATTTGTTATGCATCCCCCCTTCCTGCAGCCACGGAAGATGATTGTCTGCCTGCCAGAAACATCAACGGATTTTTGGTCTGAAAAAAGGGGAGTAAACATGATAAAATGACCAGTTCATGTCGGGAAAAGGAGGCGTTAAACCATGATAAACCATTGGATTTGGAGGTTCCCCCAAAAAATCAGAGGAACTCATGTGTGTGTTAAAACAACAAAAAAAGCAAACTGGTGGTTGCAAACTGGTTGATCTTAGATTTGTTTCAAATCATAAACTAGACATGGCTGATGGGTTTTGCCACCAAGAATGTGGAAAGGTGTACCAGCTACCCTTTGGTAATTTAACGTAGCTATTGAAAATGGCCATTTATAGTGGATTTTCCCATAAAAAATGGTGATTTTCCAGTTCGCTATGTTAAATTACCAGAGGCTAGTCTTCAGGATATCCACATGGCTTTCTGTGAGGCATCCGACAAAATTCCAGCGCATGGGACCATGATAAACAGCCCGTTGTGTATACATGATACATCATGATACTACGTTATATTAAATGACCATACATAACTAACATTATCTAACTGTGGGGGGTAATACCATATGATATATGTTTAAACAAAGCCACATGAAATTCTGGAACCAAGAAAGAAGGTGGGCGCTACCCCAACAACAACATAACAAACGAACGAATTAAACTGATGATACCATAACACATAAATTGATTGTTACATAATGTATACATAGTATGTATAATATGTGTGTATATAATATAAATATATATATATATATTATATCATGTATATAATCATGTGGAATCATAACATATGTTTTCATGGCCATTCCCCAACCCCCAAAAAAAGTATGCCTCGTAGAGGGGCCCCCAGCCCCACGGCACACTGTGCGGGGGAGCTCGCAGTCCTAAGGGTTGAAGGGAGGACCAGCGGAGGTGTATGGGGGGGTGTCTTAATGGATTGGTTTAAGGGAAAATTTACAGGAAAACCCCATGATCTTCATGGGAAAATCTATGGTTTCCTGTAAAATTTCCCTTAAACCAATCCAATATGGAAACATGTGGGAACATTGTGGCAAATATAATACCTCACAAAAATGGCAACTCGAATGGAGCAAATGATGACCAACCGTCAGATTGTGAATGTCAGCGGTAGCTGACACGCAACAACAGGAGAACGAGGAGGAGGAGGAGGAGGAGTGGCTCACCTGAAAGGATAGTCGGATTTCTTTTTAGCCGCCACAAACGATGTCGTCTAAGACAATAAAGGTTGGTCCAGCAGCGATGTTTATTGGTTGCACATGATTGTTGGTATCCAGTCCCGGTCCCGTTTTACCCATGGACAGTTGAGTCGGTTGACCGTGCACAAACACGTCCAATCCCACGAAGTTTGGCCGTGTGCCCCAATTGTTTGTTCCATTTAAGATCACCAACCGGTTCCAACACCGTCATTGTTGGTTGTCCTAAAATACTTTGCAACGTTTGCTGGATAGTTGAAACCACCCAGTCTATTCTCTTCTGAGACTCTTCTGATGCACATGAAAGTACAGGGTGCAACAATATGTTTTGATGTCCAATTCTGTGGCTTGATACACCCACTTGTTGCTGAATGATAAAGAGCCATCATATAATGACCACGGTTCACCATGATGCAATCAAGTTTGTTGGTTTTATCCTCAATTTGTTAGTGAAATTCTCATGTTGATTGCTTTCATATAACCCATCAAGTAGCACTGTTGGTTCGTTACCCATGTTTGGCTATATCCTCGTAACCATCAATTGATGGGTTTGACTGAAAATTGGATGCCAGCAATTTTAATGGTTGATCATTATTTCCCCATTCAACTTGCCACAATTGGCGGATTACATTGGAATACCCATTTTCAGACACACCCACATCATCTTGTCGAGCAATTCCCGAATACGTAGACTCATGGGCGCTGATAAAATTTAAATCCACATTTTCAGATTCCACCTGTCATTGATGAAATATACCTAGTTTTGATATGTTTTGGTATATAGTCAACTCTCAATCTTGGTTGGTTCAATCCCATGAGCAAATCCAGTTGTTCATGCCTAACTCTCGCCAAAATGGTTGATTGATTAAATCCCAATATCACCTTGTGGGGTTTTGGTGTCTCCCGCGGGGATTTAAAGCAAGATGCAGATTGGCTGTCAGTGATGGCACTGTTTCCCTCCAAAATGGTTGATATAACCCGGTATCCCGACGACGTCCCTTCCCCCGGTTATAAGTGGGTTTATCACTAGCTAGTTAGATCTACCATAAACCAAGCCAGTTGTCTAGCTATCTAGGGGCCCCACTTTGCAATAGCAATTTCCCAAAGACTTCCCATTGAATCCAGTTCAAACAAACCAAATTAAATCCCCATTAAGCCCACATTAAATCCCACTATTTCCCGTCATTAAATACTCATTAAGTCTCAAGTACATGCCGATTAAATACCAATGAACTCCCAATTAAATCCCACTAATTCCCACTAAATCACCATTAAAGACTAACTAAGTCTCATTAGATCCAGCTAATTCCCATTAAATCCCAATTAAATACGAATTTCTTTCACCCCTAACATCCCACTTTAAGTCCCCCTTAAACCCAATTAATTCCCAGTAACTCTGCATTACCCATCATGTCCCTATCATATCCCACTAATTCCCATTAAATTACCATTAAATACTCATTACCCTCTGGTAATTTAACAGTTTGCTATTGAAAATGGCCATAGAAATAGTGAGTTTACCCATTAAAAATGGTGATTTTCCATAGTTTTTTGTATGTTTACCAGAGGGTAAGCCCCATCAGACCCAACCAATCCCCATTAATCCCCCGACTCCGACTACTCCGGCTAGTCCTGAGAGCTGCGTGGGCTGCGGCTGCGCGTCAGCTGTACAGGACGCCCGTGCCACAGCCTGAAGCTAAAAAGGAGCTGGCGATCTTATCCGGAAATCATGGGAATTTTTGGGCAACTACTCAATAATGGCACCTTCAATGACTCATAGATCAATGAGTTTGTTTCATTGATCAATGATTATGACTCATTGATCAATGATTATGACTCATTGAACAATGATTATGACTCCTAGATCAATGATTATGATTCATTGATCAATGACTATGATTCATTGATCAATGATTTTGATTAATAGATCAATGATTATGTTTCATAGATTAATGGTTTTGATTCATAGATCAATGATGATGATTCCCAGATTAATGACTATCATTAAAAGATCAATGATGATGATTCATTGATCAATGGTTATGATCCATTGGTAAGTGGTTATGATTCATTAAATTGATCAATGATTATGATTCATTGATCAATGATTATGATTCAAATATTAATGATTATGGTTCATAGATCAATGAAGATAATTCAGAGATCAATGATTATGATTCATTGATCACTGATTATGGCTCATTGATCAATGATTATGATTCATTGGTCAATGATTATGACTCATTGATCAATTATTATGACTGATTGATCAATGATTATGATTCATGGGTCAATGACTATGATTCATTGATCAATGACTATGGTTCATTGATCAATGATGATGATTCATTGATCAATGATTATGATTCATTGATCAATGATGACGATTCAAATATTAATGATTATGGTTCAGAGATAAATGAAGATATTTCAGAGATCAATGATTTTGATTCATTGATCACTGATTATGGCTCATTGATCAATGATTATGATTCATTGGTCAATGATTATGACTCATTGATCAATTATTATGGCTGATTGATCAATGACTATGATTCATGGATCAATGAATATGAGTCATTGATCAAACATTTTGGTTCATAGATCAATGATAATGATTCATAGGTCAATGATATTGATTCAAAGATCAATAATTATAAAAAATCCAAAGATCAATGACTATGATTCAAAAATCAATGATTATGATTCATTGACCAACGATTATGGTTCATAGATCAGACATGAATGATTATGATCCAAAGACCAATGATGATGATTCATAGACTGATGATTATGATTCATTGATCAATGATGATTCATATATGAACGATGATGATGCATAGAGCAATTATTGTGATTCATTGATCAATGATTATGATTCATTGATCAACGATAATGATTCATCGATTAATAACTATAATTCAAAGTTGAATGATAATGATTCATAGATCAATGATTATGACTCATAGATCAATGATTATGATTCATAAATCCATGATTGTGATTCAAAAATCAGTGATTATGATTCTAGATCAATGATTATGAATCAAATATCAATGATGATAACTCATAGATCGATGATTGTGATTCAAAGATCAATGATTGTGATTCAACGATCATTTTGATTCATAGGTTAATGAGATTGATTCAAAGATCAATGATTGTGATTCATAGATCAATGATTATGACTCATAGATGAATGATTATGATTCAAAGATCAATGATGATGATTCAAAGATTAATGATTACCATTCGTAGATCAATGGTTCTGATTCAGAGATCAATGATGATAACTCATAGATCAATGATTATGATTCATAGTTCAATGATCATGATTCATAGATCAATGATGATGGTTCATAGATCAATTATTTTGATTCATAGGTCAATGACCAATAGATCAATGATTAATAGATCAATTATTTTGATTCATAGGTCAATGACCAATAGATCAATGATTAATAGATCAATCTATGACTAATAGTCATCGAGAAAAACATGAAAATGATCAATAATAATCAAGTGGTTTTCAAAATAGGTAATAAAAACTATCAATATACATAGGTCAATAGATATCAATCGAAATTATTGCCTAAATTTATGGATCTATTGATCCATAATTAATTTTTCAGTTGGTTATAAATCATTAAAACAAAGTAATCCAATATGGTTAATATATAATCAATAATGACCCGTAAAAATAACTACAGTCAACTAAGGTGGAATATAATCAAATTAAATATGGAGAATATTGCGCCTTTTGGTAATCCAACATTGCCAAAATGGCCATGCTGAATAGCTAAATAACCTACACATGGAAGTTTGTCCATTGCTGTGTTGATTTATCAAGGGGTAACGTGATAAGACCAACAGGGGAGTAGCAACTTTGGGAACATCCTCAGGTACTCAGACGCATGGCCTGCTGTAAAATCCACTATTTAAAATCTTCCCAGCTAGAAACCTTCATTTAGTTCGGGGATGTTCCTATATTGTCCGATGATTTTCCCATGGGCTTTCCCATTAAAACCATTACAAGAAGGATTTTCGATGGTTTTCCCATGGTTTTCCCATTCAAACGCCAGGTCATAGGTCCTTCGAAACTCAACAGTTTTTCCGCCTCAGACAATGCTTTCGTCGCTCGGTCTTCCAATGTCTTCTCCAGGTCGTACCTGCTGCGAGGCCGTAGGGACCCCCCTGGGGATAGCAATAAAAAAATATAGTTTCTTATCGAAAAAAAAGGGGAAAACAATTATAAACCATGATATACCATGGGATTTTGGGGTGCCAATCATGTTGTTCTTTTTTGTCCTCTCTGTGCCATCTCCAAGAGTTCAGCCCGAGATATCTGAGATGAGATGTTGTTGTTTTTGTGTAGTGGTTCGCCAAGCTTGACCTTTGTGGATTCTAGACACTAGACATACAATCATACAAAGCTTCTTGTATGGAATCTTTGGGTCAGCTTCAACAGAAATTTGCTTTCGCGACTCACTATGCTCATGATCATACAGTACAGTCTCTATAGAGAGTCATTGCGGCAATTACTTCTGATCACCACAGCCCTACATGTGCTTAGTTCAGACTCATTCACAGGAAACTCTCACACACACACACGCATATGCATATATGTATATATATATATGTATATATATATGTATATATATATATGTATATATATATATATGTATATATATATATATGTATATATATATGTATATGTATATGTATATGTATATGTAAATGTATATGTGTATATATATATGTATATATATATGTAATTGTGTATGTAAATGTATATGTATATATGTATATATGTATATATGGATATATGTATATATGTATATATGTATATATGTATATATGTATAAATGTATAAATGTTTATGTATATATATGTATATATGTATATATATATATGTAATTGTGTATGTAAATGTATATGTATATATGTATATATGTAAAAATGTATGTATGAATAAACATGTATATATATATTTAAATACACATGAATATCTACATATCTTAGTGTATATATATATATATGTACACATGAACATTGGAACTGCCCTATGTTCTGAACTGACTCATGGGACACCCAGCCCCACCACTTCGCCACCTTTTTCGGCTTTCAGGTGATGCACCGCGATACTTCGCAGCTTTCAACGCCTCATCAGCTGATGGTACCCCAAAATTGGTCGTTTATTTCATGGAAAATTCGATAAAAATGGATGATTTGGGTGTATTTTCATGTACCACCATTTTGGGAAACCTCCAAATGGCAACTATGATATATTGTTACATGGGTTGAATGTAGATAAGTAACAGATAAAAACATTTCTTTCACGTCCGAATATATAGTTTGATGCTGACTTGCAGGTAGGAGGAACGCCTAGACCCAAAGTACCACAAAATGGAACACTGGATCCCATATGTTTTGCCGGTTCAATCTCTAACTTTATTTGTTACAATCAACTCAACTGTTTGTCCCTTGTAATGGCGACATCCGCATCAATTCAAAATCTATACTCGTCATCATTGGGTGGTTTCAATTCCCATCAAAACTCGTGCTGTAGCTGGTAGGGAAACACGAATAATATGGCCTATCCGACAACGGTTAAGATTTGTTATTGATGGTTTCACATTGATATCAGGAAAACGACAACAACAACAACAACAACAACCAAAAAAAAACGTATGCTGGTCTAAATCAGATTATCGTTGACAAACTTCCCAGCAACAAAGAAACAACGCTGCCCCAACGCTGCACCTGCTCCGCTCGTCGTTTCAACTCTTGCCCTGGGATTTCGGGGCCCCAATTGCGATTCGCTCACGGTTTTGCTGCTGAACAATAGTAAAGCAATGGCATAAACCACCCATAATTTCTTGCTTACTACCCAAAAACACGGTAAATTGATGTAAATTGGGGAATGTGGATCGTTTTGTTGTACCAGCATTCCAGCATTTCGTCAATGGTGAAATGCCTGTATTGTTGTTGGAATTCGAGCAGGTTAACTTCCCCCATCGGATCTTTCGAGCAATTCACTGCTACTGGAGATCTACAGTACAGGAAAAACATGTTCGCTTCAAGAACATGATTAGTGTTTAGCATAAGAACATCGTGGATCCCCAAGAAACACATCAAAAATTAAAGGACCGGATAACCCCCACAAGTCAACTTCTTCCAATAAGCAGAAACAAAAGTTGAAGCGGGACGGGGAAGGAAGGAAAAACAAAGGAGGTGGTGGAGGATCGTAAGTGAAGAGTTGTGTGTGAAAGATGCGTGTGACAAAATTATGTGTGTGAAAGACTGTGTGTGTGACCAAGTTGTGTGCGTGAAAGATTTTCTGTGACAAACAAGCCTCCCACTCAGCCTGAGCAAATTGCACATTGCTCTGTGCTCACGTCTTCTTTGACCCCCGGCCAACGAGGTGACAGACGACATCACGTCGGCCTGCTTGGTGCAGGAGCATACAGCAACACATGAGACGAACCAGAATTGCAGCAGGTCCTGTGAATTGAAAGACTCCCGCTGGACATTGCCTTGCCATGTTGCTGAATGCTTCATGCGTGCCGAATCGGCATGTGCCCAGTAAGGCGCGTTAGCCCATTGCCCTTGCCGACCAAGCGTTGGCCCCAAGCACATAAGACCACGTCATCCCGCACCCCCGGCTAACGAGGTGACAGCCGACAATACGTCGGTCTGCACGGTATATACAGGAACACATGTACAGTGAAATACAACTAAACGATGCAAGGTCAAAGCTACAACTGCAAAAACATTTTGGATGCAAGTAAAACAAAGGTGAATGTCGCCAAGTGCCAGGCCTGCCACTTGAAACGACGAAGGTGGATGTCGCCAAGTGCCACACCTGCCACGCAAAGTGCCGCGGCGCCCCGTGCGACCAACGGGGACCAAGCGCGCCACCAGATCCAGCCCAGTGCCAGCAGTGCCACGCCTGCCACGTAAAACAAAGGTCGATGTCGCCAAGTGCCACGCCGCGTGAAAGATGGTGTGCGACAAAGTTGTGTGTGTGTGTGTGACAAAGTTGTGTTTGACAAAGTTGTGTGTGAAAGATGGTGTGTGTGACAAAGTTGTGTGTGACAAAGAGGTATATGACAAAGAGGTGTGTGACAAAGTTGTGTGTGAAAGATGGTGTATGACAGTTGACAGGGAGGCGGCGGAGGAGGAGGAGGAGGAGCGGGATACAGAATCAAAAACAAGAACCCCACACAAAGATGTGGGGAAAAACATGTATATGTATCATACGATGTATATATATATATATGTGTGTGTGTCTACATATGCAGTATTGTTAGTATTGTAGCAATACAATTCACATATACAGTCCATGTTTGGATTCTAGTTTTGTATATGTATTGCTATAGAATTATCTATATATTTGTCTTTCCCAGGCCTTGTTGGTTAGACACCCCATGGCTATGCCAAGGCCACAAGCGCGCCGTCCCGCCGAGCTCCAGGCGAGGACTCAGTTTCCTTGGCAAAAGACCAATGATCATCACTAGATATATGTGTATTGTTTAATATAACAACATATATATATACACAAATAATATTATATATAGATACATGTATCATTGCTGTCACTGTCATCAGTGTGTTATTTACCATCTTTGCAGTAAGTTGTTGTCTAAAATGTACACTGTATATATATATATATACATTTATATATAGACACGGATATTGGTCAAAACTGGGTATCCGGGTATCTCTAATCTGGCGGCTATAAATGCTCAAAAATGGTAAACATCTGCGCTCTATGGGCCTTCAGTTTGTGCTCCCCCAGCGAGATAACAATGAGACTATGGATGGACCCCCACACCAAAGGTTGGGGCTACTACAGAAAAAAAACAGAGTCCCATTGTGTAATTTCCCATAGGATTGATTTAGCCGTAACCTCTGTTCAACCATCAAAACAACAGCCGTTTTGAACACTTAAATAATGCGCTAAAGCCAGTCCACAAGTTTGGAGGGCGTTTCAACTACCCATTTCTGCTCTGAATTTGGGCCATGGCAAATGAAATTGGTTTTCCCACATTACCATTGTTTGGTATATTTCAACCTATTATATACCACTAGATTGTCCTCTAACATACAAGTAAAATATCACTGGTATATAAAATCATAAATCCATCATATACAATGTTATACCTCATTTTATATACTATATATATATATATTATATCCATCAAAGTCCATTTAAATGCATTTATATATATATATAGTGTTACAGGATGGTGCCCCCCAGTTATAAGTTGGTTTATAAACACCATTAACTAGTTCGTTATATCTGCCATAAACCATAGTGACATTGGAGTTATAAACCAACTTATCTAACTATGGGGCACCACCTTGTACCTTACTATGATTATAGTATATATGTTAATATGTTACCCTACTATTATTATATGTTACCATACTGTTATTACCATACTATTATATATATATATAGTGTTACCCTACTACTATGAAACATGGTCGTTTATCTCACGTCCGTCTCCGTCTCCGCCGAAGCGGCTCGTGCCGCTGGCATGCTGCCGAAAGGACCTCGTGGACTGTGGGGGACTCAGCTGAATCCCATCCCCTTAATAGCCTTAAAATCAATGGACCATCAAAAATGGTGATTTCATGGGGATTTAATGGTGATTTAAAGGATTTAATGGGATTTAATGGATTTAATGGGATTTAATGGTGATTTAATGGATTTAATGGTGATTTAATGGATTTAATGGGATTTAATGGTGATTTAATGGTGATTTCATGGGGAAAAATGGGCTTTGAAGCATCAAATCCCATCTAGGAAATGGTGTTTTTATAACAAATTCGATGATGGAATATGATGGAATATGAATGGGAATCATCAAAACAGTTCAAACGCGGGATATAAACAGTATTTTTTTAATAAAAACTATGAACATTGGATATAACATCAAAAATGGTGATTTCATGAAATATAAATGGGATAACACCAGAAATTGGAGACTTACTGACTAGGCTTATGAACCACGAGCGATCCAAAGTGGGATGATGCTCACTTTGGAATCCCGAGGTGCGGGTCTATACAGAGTCCAACTACCTTGACGCACTGAAATGGATACTTAAATGGATATGAAATATGGGACGATTATGCTGCAGTTCGGAATATGAGTCTCATGGAGTCGTAGCATGACCAGCGATTGTTTTCGGTAGTCTTGAACAATATATGCTTCCTATTCAAGTGATAATCATTGTTAGCAACTCGAATTTTATCACACGGTACCACTGCAGAACATTGAATAAGAGTTAGATAACAATTTGATGACCCGATAACATCCAATAAATACAGTAGATTTTCTGTTTGGAATGAAAATATCTCCCTCCTGGAACGAATCCCAGATGTCTAGCCTCAGCAATCTTTTGAGACACCTGGCCACGCATTTGGGAAAGCTCCCAGGGACGAGATCAAACTATCATAAGCTCAGGACCATTGAGATTGGAAAGGATCAAAATGTATCAAAATGTGGGGTTTACAGTACGCCATCAAGAACTACAACCATATCTTTATTCGGTAATCATTCTATTTTTAGGGTAGCCAGTATTGGCTTACATCCCTTTTGGAATGAGATGTTCAAGCACAAGGCAAACAATTTGGCGACTTGTTGCCGAAAACAAATCCACTTTACATTTCGGGAATTTGAGCAGACACACGTTGTCAACATGGTTGTGCATAATCATAGTATCCGTTCTACCAATGTAAGTATGCATACACATACAAATACATGAATCAGTTACAGTATATAACAGTACGTGTATATATGTATATCTAATGACATATACATACTGGGTACTAGAACAACCAAAACCAAATTAGTTTGCTGCCCTGTTCTTTCAAAATGATACCCCTGACACACCCCAAAATGTACCTAAACATAAACATTGTAACATTTATGTGTATAAAACATGTACATATATATATATATGCTGCATGTATGTGTATATATAAACACTTGCATATATATATATGTGAATATTATAAACATTGATAATATGTATATATATGTAATATGCATATCACAATTTATAAATGAATATACACATTTTATATTCATTTTACATACAGTATATCAATATAAGATAATATAAGTAATTATGTATGATCATCGTAATATTAATAGTGGCAAAAATTGAGAAATTGCAATCAATTACGGGGTACTCAATTTTGGCATATGCATGCTCATGCCCATCTCAAGCATGTGTTTTCAACTTCAGTGCGCCTCCACGTTCATCTTGTGATCTTTTTCGGTCCTGCCGCGATTTGTTTCTGTGGAACAAGTTGGTGAGCAACAGCAGCAGCAACAACAACGACGACGACGACGACGACCACGACGACCACGAAGACGACGACGACAACGACAACGACCACGACAACGACAACGACAACGACAACAACAACAACAACGACAAACATATCCGCATAAATGTGATGGTTCCAAATAAATCCACAGAAATTGTCCGGAAAGGCATCCCTCATGGAGGCATGTCTGAAACTAGGTGCTTCTGAATTTGGGCAACATCTGGAAACCTATGGTTGACGGATGGAAAATCCACCATTAAGGCATTGTGTTCGAGTGCGAGAGAGTGTTTTTTGATTTCGTTGTAAACCACAACCTATCAGTGCCTATCATTGCCATTCAAATAGACAGCATTTTAGGATCCAATGAAGTCAATGACTGATACGCATGGATTGAAAGACCATGGAACCCACGGGCTGCCTGCCGTTGGAATCCAGCCGGCTAACGCCTTTTCGGGGACGTGCGCAGCCCGCCTGCGATCGCTGGGGAGTAGAGAGGTGGGAAATATTGTTCAATGTGAGGCCCCCAAGATAGCGTTCAGTTGGTGAACATAACTCCAATAACTATGGTTTATGGTACGCAAATAACTATAGTTACTGGGGCGAATCTAAACCAACTTGGAACTGGGGGGCCTCACATTGTTTGGAAATTGTCTGTGGTGGACATCAAACCCACACCCTCCATACATGACCTTCGCACGAAAACCTCCATTTATAGTCGATTTATTGGCCAGCCATAATTGATGACACCGGAAAATAAATGGTTTGCTTCCTGTCGTAAATACCCCAATTTTAGGCAACGGTCAACGGTTTATCATCATGTTTCCTGTTGAAATGGCAATTTTTGGTATCTCCCATTTTATATGTTGATTCGCTTGGAGGCAAAATCATGCATATCAGGATGCTCTTGACGTAAGAAAATGTGTTAGATACCGTATCTAGAAGTTCCGAACAAACCAGCTGATGTAGAAAATCATGTAGCTCTGCTCTGAGACGAAAAGAATCAACACCATACGTCAACTGACATGCGCGTCATGCGTGTCATCCATGCCTACACCACCATTGTCCTGGGACAATCATCCCCACATCCTGCATGGGATATATCTCAACATCCATGTCTAAAGAAAACCTCTGCATAGAACGGACGATTCATCAAACATCATTAACATTTGATCAACAATCAACAATCAATTTCCCCAGAATTCATCCAAATGCCTCAAATTGAGATTATCGCTCACACCCTCGCCAAAAGAAAAAAACATAGAATTTTGATCATCACCAAAAAGACAAATGTTTCTGTATTCGATCTCCACATCCAAATCATCATGTTTATCTTTGTATTGATATCGACATTTGCTGGTTGGTTAAGTGGTGAAGCTCACTGATTCTCAACAATAAATAATTATCATGATTACGTTTGAGGATATATATATATATATATGGGTAAATAATAATATTTCACTAACTTGAATCTTGCGGCCATTTGGGGATGATTTCCCTTATTACCTATGATTCCAGTGAGGGAGAACAGTGAGGTCGTTATAATTTACATATTATATATATATATATACATATACACCCTTTGGTTATTTAACATAGCCATGGAAAATGGCCCATTTATAGATGGTTTACCTATTAAAAAGGGTGATTTTCCATGGCTATGTTAGTCATAACCAGAGGGTATATCATTACATATCCGGGGGGAGAAAAAGACACAACGAGAACATTTTTCTTCGAAAGGTCCGTGGAGCCAGCCCCGCAAACATCTTCGACCGTCAGTTGGGATCACCTCTAGGGTTGAAAATAACACATATTGGACACCACGACATAAATTTACATATATATATATGTATACAGTATATATTTCCATATGTGTATAGGTACATATGATACATGTGTATGATTGATTATGTAACATTAATATTATGTATGCATTTCTTACCTGTGGGAAAAGCTAGTTCTTATTAGATCTAGAAACCACCAACCAAAACGGCTCCGCCTGCCTCGGCTCGTGACATTTGAGGCAATTTTTCTCAGCCGAAGGAAGGCGGCCCCGTGCTTTTCGCAGTCAACGGGGCCCGGCAGCCGACCCGTGTCACTTGAAGCCGGCGGAGGCAACAGAAGAAATGGGGAGACAACAGGATGTGCAATGTGCAACACAGGAATCATTTTTTATCACAATTGCTGAACATAAATTTTGTCATAACCATCAAAACCTCAGACTTGCCACCTACAACTGGGGTACTACGGTAATAACTGGGATGCACCCGAGATTGACTGGGTCATTGTTGGGGATTCTGGGTGGATCTGTTGAACCCATCTGTTGAAGCTGATGGCATGGTGGGTATGCACTTCCAGTAATCCAACATTCATCAACATTCTATTTGGTTGGATTACTGGAAGTGTATACCCACCATGTTGGAGTATGTTGGAGTTAAGACAATCCTGATCGGAGCTTGGAAAGAATGACCGTTTCGGACCGTTTCGGGTCAAGCCATTGAGGTCTTCCATCTGTTTGGGAAGATGATCATTTAGACCCAGAGACCCAGACCCAAATTTTGGGAAGCCACATTTTTTTTTACCAACTTTGACTTTAACCCAAAAAAAACAAGAAGAGAAAACACGGCACGCATTACCGTCAAGTGCTATACCAATGGTTGGATTGCACATCCAAAACACAACTGGAACATGACATCATCTTATGGAAGATGATGTTCCGAATCGTTCTCACACTTTGGCATGTTCGCCATGTCTTGTTCCGACAGAATTGTGCGTATGTTGAGGCTCTTGTGATATCTGCGACCCTCCAGTAAATCAGCACTATGAAACGTATATCCACCACTTTGCATAATAATTTTCCTTTCAATACTTTGCATTGAAAGCATAGACTTTCATGGGCTTTCAAAATGGCAGTGTGTCAAAACCTTGTACCCCTGGTGAACATCAAAATAGCTGGTAAATGGATGTTCATCCCCCTAAAAATGGTATTAATAGGTATTGATCCATACCCAAATCTATGTTGGTAGCTCCACTTTCAGCCTCACCGAATCTCACAGTGGATCCTCCAGCAATGGCGATGTTGACCTCAGAATGGCGCCATGTTTTTGGACAAACGCACTTTGGGACCAGGGTCTACATGCTGTGTGGATGTAAATTCATATGATTATATGAATATATATATATATAATATGATTAGATAATATATATATATATTATCATATATATATATATTATCATATATATATATGATTATATCATATATATATATGTATATTATTGTAGATAGAGTATATAGATATATCGTGTGCCATATATGGACTACTAGTAGCACTTTTTCCTACCAGTGTCTTAGTTCTTGTTTGGTATCAAACCAACCATTTCTGAGAGATACCACGAGTTGAGTGTCCTGAAAGGTTTTGCGGGTGAATGAGAAACACCTCAAAGTGTATCAAATCTATAGTTTGAGGCTCCTGAACATTGATAAACAAACAAAAATGATCCGACTTGAATGGATTAAATGGAATATACTAGAATATATATGTATATATATATATGCTACTCTTTGAAATACATTCTTAGACAAATGGATTGAATGCTTTGACTAAGAATATACCAGACATCAGAATCCTCTTGATCTACCAACCCAGCTAGTTTCTGAGTTCTCAAACTGTAGGAAGTGCCTGGTGCATCTCAATGTCTTTCTCTGCGGGCATTATCCGTGGCGCCCAAAGACGCACTGATCCACATCCTCCCTCAATGCATGTGTTGAGAGAGGAGATTCCTCCAAGAAGCTCCTGGACACCGATAATTATATCAGAAAATAGTTGCACGGTTTTCAATCCTTTCTGTGTTTGAAACTCGATGGATTTCATCCTTCAAACAAACGTCACAGCCGAGGCTTTCTCCCAATCTGATGAAAACACAACCATCTCTTTGCTTCATAGCAGACCCCTATAAGCATCAACAGACAGGTTCACAATCATGAGCTTCTGAGTAGTGAATTGTTAGAAACCATTGTTAAGTACGTGGTTGGTAGCCCGAAAACCATCCGTTTTGTTGTTTTTTTTAATGAAACATATTAGAACATGTCCATTTATACGGAGGAACATTTCAACCAATGTGATACCATTACATTCCCTTCAACGCCCCAAATTACTTCCCAGTATATAAATCCCGGGTTCGGTTTGCTAATCAATTCTATTGGTTTGGGGGATCGCTTATTTCGAGCCATACATGTCAACTCCGGATTAATAAACTTTACAAGTAGTGTAGATTAGAGGGGTCCCCCAAAACCAGGAAAATATATGAATTATATAGTAATATTATTTATCATTGGCACCCCCCTTTTATTAAACTGGCCGGATAAATGGTTGATTGATACCAAATACAATCTGGATTAACAGCTCAATAAGTCACCAACCTAAAAAGTAAGGCCATTCTGCTGGATTGCAACTCGTCTACTTGCTATGCGCAGATCCTATTCAGGTGAAATAGCAATATGTTCCCTCAGTTCCGTCCGCTATCATGTAGCTTCATGGAGCAACCCTGTTTCCGGATAGTTACTGTGGTGGTCTATGGGAAGTAGGGGCAATGTCCGGTAACCATTCTCAGGCCCCGGTGCCACTGCTTCTGGAGGCCTACGTGACGCGACTACTACGTGACACCGGGCGAAGCGCGGCTCAGTGACTTCTGCACCGACTCGCGAAGCCACATGGCAAGGATAGCTGGTTGGTTTGGAAAAATGTTACAACAAGTTACATTACTTCGTGTGATCCCCAACGTAGCATATACCCTGATGTGTATATATATATATATCTATTGTATATATATATTATACTATATATGCTTACATTCTATCTATCCAACATATATTCTGACAAGGTTCTGACATACTATCTGACATCTTCTCTGACATGCTATCTTACTGTTTTCTTGGCATCATACCTGACATTAGACATTATGTTTGACGTTTGTTCTATCTGGCATTCTTTCCTGGCATAATTATATTCTCACATTTTATCTGGCAGTCTATCTGACATCTATTCTGACATGCTATCTGACGTTCAAATTGACATTCTATCGGATATACATACATATATATATAGATTCTGGCAGTCTATCTGGCATTCTATCTGACATATTTATACTACTAATAACGATGAACATAATAATAAATAATAGTAATAAAAATAATAATAGCAATAATAATTTAAAAAGTAGTAATTAAAATAATAGTATTAATAACAACAATAGTAATAGTATATATATATATATTACCGCACTCTATCTGGCATTCTATCTGCCATATTCTTGTATATATATATATAAATATTATGCCGTCTATATGGCAGATATTCTGGCATTCTATCATCATATACTAGTTGTGCCCCACTGCATCCGGAGCTTGCGATAGGGTTCGGGTCCATTGGTGCCCACAGTCACAAGGAGCTGGCGGAGGAGACGAGGAGGCGGAAGAGCTGCACCTTTGTTGAAATCTAGAGACCCTCACCTTGCAGGTGGGGAAAAACAGAGTCATGTAGTCATTTGTGTTTGTTTCCTTTTCCGGACATGTAAGAATGACAAATGTGGATGTGTCACATCAGCAACAACATAAGACGCTAGGCTATAGGCATTGATGCAGGAAGTATGGAAAGTCTTATCGAGAATCCAAAAGACAAAAGGGGCTAAGGATCCCTTTAGAAGTACAAAACCGTTTAATCAACAAACGATAAGGCAATTGGGATTATGTAAGGTAATGTAAGGTATTCATGAGAAGATATGAAAGGTATACATACACAGTATAAACATGTATAAACTGTAGTATAGTACAACCGGTGGACCTGGACCTCTCATATTCGTAGCCATCCCGACAAGCGTTTTGCCCCTTGTCCAGTTGGTGATTCTCGGCTTAAAACCTTCAACTCTCAACGGGGATATTTGTGGCATGCCCAGCGTACATTTCAAGCCAGGATTTCGATCAGAAACAAAGGAAGTGCTTGAAAATCTCGAAACACCGCCTCAGTTGGTGGTTAAAACCCACCTCAATTGTCCTTGACATAAGAGATGCACAAAATATGATACTGGTTCTGAAAGCCAGAACTTAGACAGAATAACCACAGATTCCACCAAATCGAATAATCATACCCTGATTACTGTTGCACCTATATTCACTCCACCTGCTGCCACAAATCTGATCAATCTGCGTCTTCGATAAAAACAACTGGTGTAATTCAGAAATAGATCTTGAAACAAATCTGAAGAAAGTGGTTTGACTGAAAATAAGGTACTCCAAGATAGTTAATTTCATTTAATTTCACTTTCCCATCCAGATGACCATGAAATCAGGGTATCTCCTGCCACCCAGACACAAAGATGGAAGGTGCTTCAGCATTGTCCACGGTGCTATCGTAGCGATCTCCCGTCCGCGCGTCGAAGACGGGAGGCTCCACATCTCCGGGAGAACCTTTGCAGTAGCGGCCCACCAACACGCGAGCTGCCACCAGCACCTGCAGGTGGCAATATGACAGGTTCGTGGATGTTACCTGCATTTCATTCCCATTGAACACCATATGACCAATATATGATAATTATATTCTATATATTACATATATAAAACATATATCTTATATATATAACATATATCCTATATATATGTCTTATATACATATATAACATATGTCTTATATACATATATAACATATATCTTATATACATATTACAAATATATTATAAATATATTACATATATGTATATAAACATTACACATATATATATATATTACATATATATAGCATATATATATAGTGCATATATATATATCACATATATATATATATTACATGTATATATATGTACATATATTGTATATATACGTAATATATATATATATATATATACGTAATATATATATATATATATTACGTATATATATATTACGTATTTTTATGTATATATATATATGTTGCATATATAAACTATTATATCATTGATATCCATGGTTTGCTGGAATATCATTCACTTAGTTCGATGATTTTTCCAGCTATAAAGCTCCATTTGGATGTTCCAGCCAGCCGGGTCTGATTGCCGAAGGGGAACCAGGTTTTACCAAAGGTGTTGAAGGCCAAAGATACCCATTCAAAGGGCAGCAGAGATCAGTTGCTACACAAAAATCTATTTGAAGAAAATCTGCCCAGGACTTTGTTTAGCAAACAGATTTGTTGGGAAAATGTGAACTGCCCATCGATGGACACTGGATTGTCAGGAAGCAATGCTTTCGTCTGCAAGAGGCTGGCTCTGAACCGGAGGCTGACGGAAACTCGTCCGACACTGAGGCAGATTGTTGGGAAGTATTCAGTCCAAACGGTCACCAAAAGTTCTGCAATACCGCGATCCAAAATTGTTCTTTTCATCCATCTGAATACTAACTTTGGAAACTTTATCCCAATCATCCCATCTTTATCCATTTTTGGGGATGGAAGGTATGTCACTGTGATCGTCACCTATTTCCTACCGCACCCACCGTGATGTGATTGCGCCTTGGTACCATCCGGGCCGCCCTTCTTGTCGCAGAAGCGCAGCGAATAGCGCGGGTCTTTGGAGAAATAGCTGCCATGGCCCAGCAGGGTGCCATGGCGGCCGGCGAAGCTTCGATTGAAGCCTTGCTTCAAGATCTTGGGAATAAAGGCCTTAGGAAGGCGCCACAGCCCAGATACGCAATTGAAGGGGGAACAAGTAAAAGCAGACGGACCTTTTACCGGCCCACAAATTGGGGTGGGGTGGGGTGGGGTGTGATAGCATTCGTCACTACTGCAAGACATGATGGGAGGCTACGCTACGCATTCGTCACTACTGCAAGACATGATGTGATGCTACGCTACGCATTCGTCACTACTGCTAAGACATGCATGGGAGGCTACGCTACGCATTCGTCACTACTGCAAGACATGATGGGGCTACGGTACGCATTCGTCTCTACTGCAAGACATGATGTGATGCTAGCTACGCATTCGTCTCTACTGCAAGACATGATCTACGCTACGCGTTCGTCAGTGCAAGACATGATGGATGCTACGCTACGCATTCGTCTCTACTGCAAGACATGATGTGATGCTACGCTACGCATTCGTCTCTACTGCAAGACATGATGGGAGGCTACGCTACGCTACTGGAAATTGATGAAAAAGTCAATTCCAGACAGCATTCGTTCCCAAGTCCAAGGCAAACGCAATGGTTTGTTGTTCAAATACATTCGAAGTCACCAATGGAGATGGGAACACACTGGCTTCGACTTGCTGACCGCCACTGGCGAAGCTGTAAGATCTCTCATGCGGTGAAGAGAAAAGGCCACTTTGATCGTTCGCCGGGTTTTGAAGCACAAAACCCTGTAAGGGTTGCAAACCACACTAAAACGGATGTTTTTTTTCATGGTTGTTTCCCACATGAAATCGAGCTGGCGCCACAGCGAAACAAGAATTTCTAAGCAATCATGGGCCGGTGCCAGGTCCGCCGGGAAGTAAAACATATCTGTTACAGTAAATGAGACTGTAAATAAAGATGTAAAGTGCTGTAAACTGCCTTAAATTTAGGCCATATCCTATCCTGTAACTACTCACGGCCAATAAACAAATATCCTTGAACAATAGCTGGCTGGTATTATATAATATCTCTATTTAGCTATTTATAGCAAACAACTGTTAACGTATTTAATTATTTAACCTATATGGAACATCAAAGTATTAGACTAAACTATACCCATAGGATCCAGGTATGCTATATATGGTGACATTTACCATCAATATACCTTCTTTATGTTAGCATATATACCAGCACCATGGATCCTATGGGATATACTAAGCCATAGTAAAGGCTACGAAGCCGTTGACCTATCCTAAGCCACCTATCCTAGCCGTTCGAGTCATCGAGTTGCCCAGGAGGTGCCATGCCACAGCTGCAGCTCCTCTAAGTCGCGTCCCTCTGCCAGGCTGCTCTTGAGAGCCTTCGGCCAGGTGATCTCACTGATCTCATAAAAAAAAAAACACCAAGAATTGGATGGTAATATATATATGGTTAAATTGTAATATTGCACTAACCTGAATCTTGCGGCCATTTGGAGATGATTTCCCTTATTAACTATGTTTCCAGTGAGGGAGAACAGGGTTCGGTCGTTCTAATTTACCAGAGATTCGGGGCATGGAACAATAAATGAAATGGGGATGAACCAATGTTTTTTTTGGGTAGCCTATGTTCAAACAAACCAATATCATTTAACTACCTTTAAGATATCACCTAATATATAGTGGTAAACCCAATCAAAAGCCATCTCTATCACCGGAAATGCTTTGGTTATTAAGTATCACACATCACCCATCAAACATTGGGGGTGGTATGATTGGGTTTACCACATTGGGTAATATCATAAGCAACATTGGGTGGGTTAACAGTTGTAATAACAGTAACGATTGTTATTGCGGGTTATTGGTGGGTTACTGGAACAATGATTTCGTATGAAAGTGTTTGGCTTTCATGGAAGGTGCTGGAAAATGTGCTTTATATAGACTTTTGTTAGAAAGAAAGCTTCGACTTCGAGCCTTTGGCCGAATGCTTTTAAATTGGTGAATTCATCATCTTTCTGTGCTGATTGATGGCTCAAGCATGCTTAAATAATTAAATATGGTCGATTTCACTATAAATATGGCAACATCATCACAAACCTTAAGTTAAAATCGGGACAGGTAGAAACCTATGCGATTCATACAATATTCCCACCACTGTGGTGCCTCCCAACTATGTGTGTCCCACTGACTATACTCCGATATCAAATATCTACCATAAACCCTAGCTATAAACCAACCTGGTAAACTATGGCGTAACATGGGGCACCCTATTCCCAGAAGTGAACATCTACTTACCACCGATTCTGATGGCATGCGGCGTCGTAGACGCTGCGCTGTGTTCCAACGGTGGCAAAGATGCCCGTCACCTGCCGAGGCACCGTCCCTCGCCATTCACGTGCTCCATGGATGGAACACGTAACTGTTGATCATCATGTAACCATTACAGGGAGCATGTTAGGCACTGCACGGAAGTAACTTTACGGCCAGGACTAAGAGTTTGCCACGGAATGACTTTTATGTCTTAAGGAGAGCCTCATTTCACTGCGCAGGCGCAGTGTCTTATGACTTTGGTACATCTGTGCGCTAGTATGGCCCAAGACGTTTTTTTTGAAAAAAATGTCGGAAAAAGTGAGCCCTCTGCGGACTTCATGCATTTCGGCCTTTTCCCCGTTTTCACTTTTCTGGCAAATAGAAGTATTCATATTTATTCCGTGGGGCTGGGGGGATTTTATGATTAGCATGGTTATTTGTTTCATGGGGCCAGGGGATTTTATAACCAATGTAAACCCTAAATTAATTAAACCCTAATAGAAGAATGGTTCTCTGTTCCACGGGGCCGGGTGATTTTATAACTTATGCAATGTCCTAATACCTAATAGAAATATGGTTATTTGTTCCATGGGGCCGGGGGATTATATATATATAACTTATGTAAACAAACAACATGAAACCTTAATGGAAGTATGGCTATTTGTTTCACGGGGCCGGGGAAACTTATAACTTATGTAAACAAACAACCATGTTTGTATGAATGGAAAAATCCTTGGCACTGGGATGATGGTTCAAAAAAGGGTTGCTGGCTTCGCACTCATGCTTTGCGCTTCGGGCTTAAATTCTTCGTCCCGTGGGCAATTTTAGGACTTTTTTTTAGCATGGAAATGTGAATGCAATTTTTGGAGTACAATAATTTGCCAAAACCAATTTTGAAGTGATCAGGATTGATCAGGTCTGCTTTTCTTTAGGGGTTACGCTTACCCCAAAACAGAGCAGAGATGTTGGACATGTAGCCGACCGGTTGAACCATTCTCTGTTGAGAAGCGTTGAGGGAAGCACTTATATAAATGGGGCCCAAACAGGCCAATCACTTTATCAAACCAGGCCCCAAAAGGTCTCTTTCTTGCAGTCTACCCTAAGGTAAGTTGACAGTTTGCTATGGAACATGGCCCATATATCATTTGGTTAGATTATTTACCTATATATGAAAAAACATTTGATTTTCCACAGCCATGCGAGATTGCCCTAGGCTATGTCTATGTCAGTATAGCTAGTGCTTCTCCTGGAATTCTGAGCTCTTCAGAGCTCCTGTATCATCCGTCAGCCCATTGATATCCTTAAGCCAAGATTCAAGATCCATCCACTTTCTCCAGTGTTTTCTTGCTGGAAAGAATTGCCCTAACATATCTCCACACTTTCCGGTTGCGTTCATCGATGTTCACGGATTTTCAGAATACCCTCTGGTAGACTAACATAGCTCTGGAAAATCACAATCTTTAATAGGTAAATCAACTCTAAATGGGCCATTTTCAATAGCTATGTTAAATTACCAAAGGGTATCCAGTGGGAGTTTCATAGATTTCACTCGATTTTCAGGGATCTTCCTGGATGGTTGTTGAATATGGCCTTGTCTGAAGTTGGGGCCCCTAGATCCATCGGGATTATCAGCCATAAAATCCCTATGTTTTAATAGACATAACTGGGGGGTTAATCCCAAATTTTCAAACAAATCTCAGATGGTTAGTGATATCATATCCCATGAAATCCGATGAAATCCCAATGAAATCACCATACAAAAAGGTGGTGAATTCACCTATCCAAGCCAAATCCTAGTAGGGTTGGTTACTTCCCATGAAATCCCATAAGATTAGGATAAATCCTACAATGTGAGGCCCCCAAGATAGCTAAGTTGGTTTATAACTCCAATAACTATGGTTTATGGTACTTATAGCTATAGTTACTGGGGCGAATCTAAACCAACTTAGCTATCTTGGGGGCCTCACATTGTAGGATTGATCCCATCTTTTTATTTATCCATCCATTGGAATCTCCGGTAACCAGAGCGCCTGGATCTCCGGTTCCAATGGTTCCAATTCGGCCCGCAGCTGCCTCTGATCTTCCTCTGAGGCCACGCCTCAGGAATTTCATGGGAGTTTGTTGGATTTCATGGATTTTAAATGGGATGTAATGTGACTTAATTAGCCATTTTTAGGGCATATTTTTAGGAACATCTATGAACATTGTGGGAAATCATGTGCTTTAAAAAGGCAAGTTTAGTTTTTTTTTTTGGTGGTTAATTGGTAAATAATGGGATCAATCAAACGTGGTTAGCTGGGAAATCCAAGAACTACATCTGACATTTTCCAGCGAGCCATGAATGTTTACCAGTACCCCGCCAATAAATATCAAAATTAAGATATCATAAACCATGGAGTCCTTTTGAAAAATCCCAAACAGTAGACCCAATAACAAAGCCCAACTGGCATCGTCTTGGATTGGAGCCCCAGAAGGGGAGGGTTCACTATCCAAAATACTACAGGTCATTTGAAAGGACAAGTCACCACGCAAAAAAAACCTGAGCATCTAGTAATCATATTATAATATAAATATATATATATAAATCACTACCAGTATTGTATCTTGGTTGGGATTCTCACCTGACCTATTTGTTGTGGGATATCTGTGGATACCTAGTTCAATCGGCTGCCAAAGGGCAAACAACTTGAATTATGTTCGATCACCGTTCCCAAACCCATCAAAAACCCAAGCAGCTGATCAATCCTGTCTCCAACAAGCTCTTCGTCGTACTCCCCTGTGGACTGTCGCTGGGCCCATTGGGCGTCCATTTCAAGCGCAGCGAGGACGTGGCCACGGAGTCCCGTGAACGGGCAGGTGGGGTGAAGGCAAGACCTGGTGAGGAGCAACCAATGGAGGGTCCATTTGAAGTTCCCAAGAAATAATTTAAGAACAAGTGGAAGGTTGTTTTGAATGGTCTGAGGATGATCAACAAGATCAATTCCTGGGATTTCTCGCGATTGGAATAGATCATTTTGCTGTTGGGGATATTGCCGAGTGTTTGCCTTTCTCTATAACAGAAAAAACTGGTGAGGTTGGTTTTACGAAAGACCAGTCAACAGCTGACCCAACAGAGGTAGTAGCTGCAGCAAGCATCCCCTGTCGAAGGTGTCGTTAAAATCACCCGCAGCGCAAGCAAGTGGCTGCTGTGTACAAGGCCGCTTGCTTTCATTAAAATTGTATTTGTAGTGTTGCGTGTGTTTAGCCAATTTTGCTATTGTCTCTGGTCATTGGTCATCGTGCTTTTTCGTGAATGTTGCTTGTCAAATTCTTTGTTTCATCATCCACCTCATAATAAGAATATAAAATATAGTAATAGTATAGCATAGTCTAGCAATAATAACACACCAAGGGGTGCCCCTTTAAAGAATTGGATACCCAAGTTGAAGTCAAGCATGAAATGTTCTGAATATTTTTAAGATTTTATGGATACATATCATGTACATTCATGTACATGTTAAAGAGATATGTGGATGTGGATGATATATGAATATATATATATGGTGCAGTTCCTAGAATCTTCCAAGGAAGGCCTCTTAAAGAATAGGAGACCGTCAAACAACAGGATTTCCTTAAAAAATAGAACTGTTTTTTTTTGCCGGCCAGGTATGTCCCTTAAAAAATACAGTTTTTTAAGGACATCATGTCCTGAACTTTTTAAGGAAAATTCCCAGGAGGATCCAATAACAACAGTTTTCATCTTTGTTTTCTACTTCACTCCGTTCCCCTGTTTCCCTCCCTTCACCCCGTCGTCCCATCCTTGCGTCGACGTCGACCGCGCACGTGGCATGGGCGACGTCGCCGCCCGCGCCACGCGCGGCTGCCCGGCGCTGCAGCTTTGCTCGTGCGACGGAAGCACTTCCCGGCGGAACTGCCGGGAGCAGAAACTGCAGCGTTCCAACTGACCTGGGGATATGGACATAGGCATTAACCAGCAATCATGGGGATATAGGGTGTATATATCATACTATATATATACACAAATTTTACATATATATATATTTACATACATATATACATGTATATATACATATACATGTATACATGTATATATACATATACATATATATATATATACATAGATATATAAATAAATATATATATATAAGCGAATATATGCAAACATATACAATGGGACAAACAACTATAATGGAAAACAAAGCAACTATAATGGAAAAACATGGCGCATCATGGAACATGGGGATACGAGCCAACAATCATGGAAACACATGGGGATATCATGAGGATAGAAGCAATATATATATATATATATATATATTGATATGTGGGTGGATATAATTGGTATATATAAGATATATATATATATGATACCATATAATATGATATTTTATTGATATGTGGGTGGACGTGAAAATGTGGTATAATCGCAACGTTTATAGGTCAATGTGATGGTTTGACCAAGAATAAATAATGATTTAACAAACAATAAATGGTGATGTTGCCATCAAACCTGTGGATTTCATACAAAGGGTCGTGTTTCAATCAAACAATAAAGGGGTGGTTCACCAACAATAATGGGGTTATTGTAACCAGCCATCCTTGGGGGCTATAACCAGCCACCCTACATGGTAAATCTGTTGGAATCGGGGATACCCTAGTTTCAGACAAACCCAACCGGCCTTTTGAAATTTTGAAGTAGGTAAGATGAAGCACCAAAAGATGCGGTGGGGGATCTGGGGAAATTGATTTGACTGGAGTTGAAGCAACGGAAATGCGGGATTAAACACCACAAATTGGTTTTTCCAGCTAGGGTTGTGTCTTATCCAGGAATCCAGAAGAGATGGGGGGCGTAAATGGGCTCAATACGTCTTACAGTAACTAGTTTGAAGTTTCAACCAACGAAAATGACAGTTTTCAAATATGTACCCAAGGCCCAAGATTCAAGTATTCCCATGCATTTATTTATCATTCGTTCTATCCAGAATAAATAGCACTGACTACTGTAAGCTGACATGAGCTGATAAGAGTCAGGGCTTTTGTGCACCAGCTGGGAAGCCAAATCATCTCGGTCCAGCAAGTGTCTAAATCACCAAACAACAACTTTAGCGAGATTGGGAAAAATCAATATCAATTTACCAACTGTAATAGCACTGTTGGGTGCCAAAGCATTATTGCAAGTGAATGGGAGTAGGATTCGGCCTTAAATCCCATTGCCACTCAAGTGTGAGTCATCCTTTAAAACTTTAAAACATAAAAAAACGACCAACGACTCCACGTTTTTACTACATTTTTTATATGGTTTTTGCGGGAAAAAAACTGAGGAGCGCAGCTGAAAGACTACAAAAGGCAGCATATGAGTTGATGGCCGCCGGTGGTGGACCCGCCAAGGTGACTCGACGTCTGGGAGGGCGCTTGGTTTCTTGCTTCGGTCGCTGCAAGCCTTGAGTTTCAGGATTCCAAACAGGATGTCAAATCATAAGGCCAGATTTGTTCTATTTTACTAAGGAGGCCTTGATTTTGGAGATGATTGGAAGCTTCATACTTTCATGTTGAGGTTTAGTCATGCCATGTGGCAAACAATGGCAATATACTTGGCCACGCTGAAGATGATTACATGATCCTCCTGATACCCTGAGAAGACAGAGTTTTTTGCCCGACCGAAAACACGAAAACATCACCCGCAGTTCATCCATCCAAATCCCCTCTTGAACAATCTTAGGCTGGTTGGGGGGTACCAAAAAAAAGTATTGGATGAAATGACTATTGGAGGAGTACCCTCCTAATTGTCATAAACCATGGTTTAGCAAAATCAGAACTTGACATTAACACCAAGCCGCAAACCCGCTGATGCGTTTCCAGCCGCTCTGGATGGAAGGTCCGCTTGCAGAACTCGCAGGGCACCAGCTTCGACGGGTAGGTTGTGGCCGGGCACCGCGCCGCGGAGAGGTCCGTTGGACCCGTGCGTTCCGCGGCGTCACGGAGGTCGCGGACGGTGCTGCGGATCAAGTCGTAGTGCTGCTCCAAACTGTGGACGCCATCCGGCAGTTCCTGGTGGACATGGAGCACCATGGATCATCAACGGGAATGTTTGGGTTCACAAAATGAAGTGATGGAGAAAAACATCGAGTCATCAAGCAACAACAGAAGGATATAGACCATTATATCCAATGATCGCTGAAGATGTTTTGACCCACAAAATGAGTTTAATGATAAACATACAGCCCATTATGCAGGCGATATTCTGCCAGCCACTATATAAAGCAACATTGGTTGGGAGGTGATGAAATTTACAAGACTTGAAGCACCACATACTCAGACTCATTCAGATCCTTAATCATTTACTATCATTACAGCAGTAAAGATTGTCGATTCACCAGTTTAACCAGGGAGTAGAATTACAGGCCTATCATGGCCTATCCATCAACAATGACTTCAATGTTGCAAACTTACATCCCAATTGGATAGTGAAATCACGATGTTGTTTCGTGGTTGGAACCATCAGCACCTGAGCAAGCATCAACAATCCGTTTCTCCAATGCTAAACCATACATATATATATATATATATACATTGTTTCAAACTAGAACCCAATTACAACTCTATTACGCCCCAATTCTATTCAAATCCTATCAAAACCTTCATCAACCCCCCCATTCTAAGTTGCCTAATGATACCTATAATGTGGTAAACCCAATACCAATAATAAACCATCCCAACAATCACCAAAATTGGGTGGTATGAACTATTCACTAAATGGTAGGTTTATTCTTGGGTTTCCCACGTTAATATGTGGGAGTGCTTGACCATCTATAAGTGGATATAAAACCATGGCATAGCATATACTATACCCCGGTTATATGTGAGATATCACTAGTCATATATGGGCTATAAACCATTTACTAATCGGGATGCACATCCAAGTATTAGACTTAACTTATTAACAATCCAAATGGGGGGGCAACCCTGGCCCTGATTATTAAAAAATATGTATATATATATAGATATTCCAATAATGGGATACAATAAGTGCTTGGTGGTTCCTTATGATTTCCATATTTCCCCAATATTAAACGGTCCCCCACCCCCTCCCCCCCAAATAATGAACACCTGGAGGAGTTTTTAGTATTAGGAGGTATTTAGTATTAGGATGCGAAGCTTCCCCCTAACACTAAATCAAAAACCCTAATATAAAAAACTATTTTGTTCTATTTCAAAATCGATTAGATTTCCTTTTAAAATCTTAATTCAATATTGCCAAAAATTGGATTTCGAAGCTTTCCCCTAATATTAAATTAGAACCCCTAATATAAAAAACAAACATTGTTTATTTCAAAATTTTCTATTAACTTAAAAACCTTAATATAAATATACATGTATTAATATATATATATATATGTATGTATATATATATATATATGTTTGTTTTTTCGACCTTAAAAGACGGACCCTAATACAAAAACACCCCGGGGTTGACTAGTTTTTTATTATTAGGGGGTTAGGGGGTGAAACCCTGAAATGGGACCTTCATTTTTAAGTTGTTTTCGAAAGGGGATCAATTAAAAATCAAATTGGCCAGACTGAAATTTCCCAAATTTAACGCGGACCCTAGTTTTTAGTATTTGGGGTACGTTTAATAAAAGCTGGTGGGGTTTAACTAAGATGGTTTTATCAATCCAATAACTTTGGTTAATGGTAGATATATCTATATATATATATCTATAGCTCATGGATGTTAATGGGCTTTAGAAACCAACTTACAACTGGGGGGCATCACCTTGTTTTAACTTCAATGTGAGGCCCCCCAGTTAAAAGTTGGTTTATAAGCCCCAGTAACTATAGTTATAAGTACCATAAACCATAGTTATTGGAGTTATAAACCAACTTAGCTATCTTGGGGGCCTCACATTGTTTAATATGTTTAACAATCAGCAGCATCCCGGGGACTCGCGCCGTCCTCTTCCTCCAGCAACGGACAGCGCTCCGCCGCGGGTTTGGTGGCTTCGCGCTGCTCGAAGCGACGGCGACAGGCCTTCAGGTGCATGTCCTGAAAGGTGACCAGTGACCAGGATAGCCCTGGGGATATCATGGATATCCCATATACAAAAACAAGTGGGTGTGTATATATATAATAGTATGCAATAGATGGGACCTATATGGGGATATGGTTAAACATACTGGGAAAACCATGATTGTAACAATCATGATAGTGGGACATAGGTATACATATATATATATGTGTATACATAGGTCTGGCTGAATTATAGTAATTCACAAACCTGCAAATAACTGAAAGAAGGCTATTGGGGATGATTCCCTGTCTAACCATCATGCCAGTGACGTCACGGTGAGGTCATTCTAATTCATCCATATATACATATACCTGCATCCTCGAAGAAACACAAATAAATGTTCATTTGAAAGATGTCTGCTTTTTGAGTGGTTTTTCTCCAAAAGAGCGTAACTGCACCACTTTGGGAATTTGCACTTTGTGCATTTTGAAGAAAAAATATGAGCGTATTTCCCCGGGAAATAAGCATCAGTACCCGGGAAGAAAACATAAATACCTATCCGTCAGGATTCAGATGCGCGTCTTCAAGTTCAAGTGAGCATAAAGGCATAAAGTGTCAGAACCAGCGTAAATCCAAGCAAAAACTGCTATGAGCAGAAACACAAACTAATTGAAGATCCAGGTATAAACACATATAAACAATAATCAACAACAATGGGACACCAAACAATGATGGAACGGTGACTTGCCTTCATTTGTTAATTCAATGCGGGTTTAACCAACAATTTGATGGGGATATCATGAGAATATCATCTATATAATAAAAGCATTATCGTTTCTTGAAAGGGGGAGAAAACTATTGTATTGTTGCAACATGTTTCGGCAATGAACAATAAAATGTCATCGGATATATATAATATATATATATAAAAGCAACCATCACAGGGACATGCCTTGCTTGTGCTGGGAAAATTACATATGACATACAAGGTGCATATAAGATCTAAGATACTTGTTTTTTTTTTTTTAAATACAAACATTAAACTATACATAATAGATACATTTGAAGAACATTTAAACATTAAGATAGCTGTTTGGAACATGTCGGACATGCTGAAGAATCAACGGGGCCTTTACTGAATTGAGGTCGTTGGAGGTGGCTACATACTATCCTCAAATGAGTACTGGTTGAAACTGAAGGACCTTACCATCTTGGAAGATTAATCAATTTTGACACATAGACGCTCGATCATCAAAGGGGAGACAAGTATTAAAACTTATTAAAACATACTAAGATGTACTAACACTATGGGGTAACACGACATTGTTGTTATGGGTACTTAGTTTGTCTAGGCTCATACTAGAACACCATTGCAATTTGCAGATCCAAAGGTCCAAAGAGGTGTGGTTTAGGTACTTCTGCCCACAGACGTAACAGCGCAATGGAGCTGGAGGCGCGCGGCGTTCCAGGACCGTGTCATTCACGAACGACAAACCTGCAGAAACCATGAAGTTTGGGAAAACCATTCTGAAATTAAGACATGCTTAGCAACTCTTGTGATTCTGCACAACTGGCCTTGAATTTGGGTATATATTTATTATTATTACTATTATTATTATTATCATTATTAATCTATATATATATATAAACAGTGAAACCACTGTTTAAGAACCTACTGCAATAAGAACTTCAGGGGCTGGATTGCTGGATTCAACCCTTTCTGTCAGCTAATTGAAATAAGAACCCTAGGGTACCCTGGAATTCTAGCCGCTGGTTCTTATTCCCCTTTAACGGGTATCAATACACCAACCATTCATTATTAGCAGCTGTTTCCCAAAAGAAAGATTATGGAAAGATTATGTACCGCGGAACTTCCATGCCGAGGACAAACATGGCGCGGCCCCAGGAAGATTCGAACCGTTACATGGTCACCAAGGGTGATGTCGACAGCTTCAGCTAGACACAGCCTCCTTTGCAACATACCGCGCCAAAATAAACTTTCAAGCCCTGGCATGATGGAATATCTGGCCTATAGCTCTGTTTGGAATGCCTGCGCCTCAAAAAAACTTTTCAGGACCTAAAAAGTTTTTTCTTCCCCCCGCCTCCTTTGCAACCTAATACCACGCCGACGCCAAATGAATTGGCAAAACCCTCACCACATGAACCCTTAAGAACTAACCCATTAAGAACTTGAGGGTACTCTCGTTCATAATTCCATATTTTCCACCTATAGCACTCTAGAACCCCAGGGTAGGCTGGAAAATTCTTAATCGGTTCTTATCTAACGGTTCCGCTGTAGCCCATTTATTAGCCTATCTACATCTATGAGCTTTAAGGATCGGCAGATCCTGTGGCTCAAGCACCTGGAGAAGGAAAGCTCACAATTCGCCCAGTGTCAAAATACGGTATGATCCCTCCAGCGAAAAGTCTTGCTTGGACTTGCATTGGTGGATACAAAACATTCCTTCCCAGCCAGCAGCGAACCTGACATACAAAGCTCTAGAGCTTTTCGTTCATTTCCACCAGAGACGTGCAGAGCAACTTTGGCAATCTCAGGGCCAAATCCCATCGATTGAAGCTTTTCAAGGCTGCTGGAATCTGCTCCTTAGGACCAGTGACCACAGTGACCCACGGCCTTGACAAATTGACAAACCTTGGTAAGGTTGGTGTTAGTCGACTGGAACCTTCCAGCTACAGACACGTTTACGTGATACATATTCATAAATCATATTCTAAGCCATCCACCGGTGTACAATTCCAAGCTTTTTTTATCGAGAGGAGTTTCAGTGACAGTACGTGATCAGTCGACAGAGCTTCCATTCTTCTGGGCCTCCAGAAGAACCCGATGCAAAAATCTGTCGTCGGAGAACTGCAATCTTACCTGGTTGGTGGTGCAATAACCATCTTGAAAAATCATGGAGTTCGTCAATGGGAAGGATTATTCCCAATATACCCTCTGGTAATTTAACGTAGCTATTGAAAATGGCTATTTATAGTGAGTTTTCCCATTAAAAATGGTGATTTTCCATAGTTATGTTAGTTTACCAGAGGTATGGGAAAATACAAAATGTTCCAAACCACCAAGCAGTTACTCCTTTTTCATCCGCCTCATCATGGCCAGTTGAATCATCCGATGGAATTCCTGATGTCATGCGAACGCGGCCATGGCTTGTAGTGGCGATGTTGTGTTCTCTGATGTAGCAGCGTGTTGGACAAGCATGTTGGCTGCTTGTGGTCAACTGTTTTAGATGTTTATTCCTTCTGGATGTTCAGCTTTATCATTATCGTCATCGTTTGTTACGTTGTTTCACAAAAGTGTCAAGCATCTCTCGGTGTTTGCAATAATCTCAGTAAGTTCCATGTTTCTGGAGCAAGGCGGCATGGAACCATAATATGTACACATATTGGCACGAGTCGGAAATTGGAATGCAAGTGCAAACATTTCACTGTTAAGACTTTTGACCGCATCATCAAACAATGGTAGATGATCATGAACAAAGAAGCCATGCGATCTTTCTCTATCAGTACCCATGCTCAGGAAGTTTGAAAAACAAACATAATTTGTACATTCAGAAATATTTGTTGAGTTCCAGGAATTATCGTAGCTTCATGGCGTTTTGATTCAACACATGCGACTTCAGCATCAGGCGTAGAATAACGATGCAACAAGGGGAAGGACAACGCACATGAAACCAACTCCCCCTTCGTATAGGCTTCTGCAAGTATATACAGTAGCTATTTCGACAGGACTTTCCCAACCTTCCGGCAATGTACCCCTATGGATCCTTATGTACTTCCAGGGAACGGGATATGTAGAGAAAGCCACCCCAACACGATTTATACTTCCTCAGAAGGTACTTGGATCCACAGGGATCATAGGGCTGTGTGTAATATACATAATAGATATAATATAATATCATATAGTATAATATAATATAACATATAACAATAATAATATATATATATATATTAGTCTACACTCCCTCAGTACGTTCTAAGGTTTATCTCCGGCATCTCCGGCTCAGAGGTCCAAACTGCGGCAATCACCATGGGACATGGCGCGATGAATGCAAACCCATTGAAACCGTCTAAGATGAATATTGTGTTTATATTATATATTAATATATTATATATATATATATATGTATGGTTTCCAAGTCATACTAATGAAATCCAATCAATGAACATACAGATTTATAAATCATAACAAACCATTCTAATCAGTTCTTGAGATGATTTGAACATACCGTACCTGCTGCATACCCCAAGTCCCTCCCAAGTCTGACTTGGGAATCCTTTGGTGTTTACCATCTGCAAGTGGCATCCTTTGGGTTCCGCTGGGTCAGTTGATTTTCCATGATGAAACTGAAGTGGTGTTAGATACTTAGCAGCGGGGTTGTCAGTTTTGAGTTCTCTACCTAAAAAAATCTGGTTCCATAATGTCCGGAATGTGTATCATTTATGTTTACATGAAGCCAACAATTGGATATGAACATGCATATTGAAACTGGATCGTAACCCCTAAAACATGTTGACAAGTAGGCATGCAACACAGCTAGCTACTTTCTATTATCTAGCTCCAGGACAAAAGGTGTACTCCCCACATCTTGTTTCATTGATTGGATCTTTCATGGGGGTTACAGGATCCAAGTTTCACATCTGACTGCCCATCTCCTCATGCGCATTTGAACGGCAGAATGGCTTCGAGCGCTGGAAATGGTCAGTGCTTCTTGCGGTTGATACGGATTCCCCGTTCATGGATTGTGAGAATACCCAACACATATTGGTTATATATATATGTATAATAAAATCACCGAACTAATCATCAAGCAACAGGAGTAGATCGCAGGCACTACCCGAAGATATTCCAAAGATTTACCCTCTGGTAAACTAACATAACTATGGAAAATCACCATTTTTAATGGGAAAACTCAGTATAAATGGCCATTTTCAATAGCTTTTTGTATGTTTACCAAAGATTTATTGATTGAGTTCAACGTGGTCTTAGACTGACCCAACACTCGAGATTCTGTGTTTTTTGCACATTCAGGTCATATTTTTCGGTCAAATCTTCGCCATTTCAGTGTCAATGATTTGCTGGTATATTTTAAACATACCTTCCAAGCAAGGGTGAGTCAACACATGGTTCTGCGAATTGTAATATAGTGAGTATATCACAGTATATCCCCCAAATGAACCCCCAGAGCAGGTTACCGTGGATAGCAAGTGGGTTTGTCTGAAAAATGGTAGGGAAAATTGGTGGTTAACCATAATTTCCCCTGTCAAAATTGCCAATTTTTCAGACACAACCATAGCATCTTGTTGGTGAATGTCCGCAATGTAGCCACTAACCCCCTGTTTATTGATCTGGGTAAATTATAATATTTCACCAACCTGAATTAAGGCCATTTGGGGATAATTTCCCTAACCAACCATGATTCTCAGTGAGGGAGAACAGTGAGGTCGCTATAATTTACCCAGATTGATGCTTAAAAATGGTGTCACTTCAAATTTAAATTGGTAACTTTAAAGCTGTCCCCCAGAGATGGGCCTAATGCTGACGTGCTGAACTCTTTTGACCAGATGTCTCACGACCCTTGTGAAGAGAAGTTGTATCTATATGCCTGTATCGCCGCATTGATACATAGATTCTGCAGCCGCAATTGTGATGGACATCATGTCTTCAAAAAGTATACTGTCCACACCAATCAACTATACTGTATAATACTATTATATATAATTATATGTACTATATGTACAAATTAGTGGTGACCAAAAGGGGCCTTTGCACTCTGGTCACGGGCGGCCTCGTGTGGAGCTCATTTTTCTGGAGGCTACAAGCAGCACAATGTGGGGAGAATATGAGATCATGAGATCAGCAACAAAAAATAGCTGCATGTTTTGGAAAGATTACTTGATGGCAAGAAAGTAATTCTTGGTAAGCTACGGAAGGGAATGTAAAGCAACCAACAGGGGGGGTGCTAAGCAACAACTATTCGGTAAGCATCAACTGATTGCTGGTTCCAACTCAACAAAGTATAGCTAGGTACTTTTGGGATACAGAGCGTAGGGATACAAATGGATAGATAATATACGAGCAGCCCGTCACTGGCAAAGTTTCCAGTAACCCATTTCCAGATATTGCCAGTAACTAAATTCCAGTTGATTCACCAAACAATACACTAAACAAATCTAAGAACATAATTCCAGTTGAAAAAAAAACATCCCCCAATACTATCCCTGGATCCATGTCAGAGGTCTGCCAAGCTGCGTCTCTTGCGCTGTCGACCTGAACAGTTTAAACAACTGCTGGTTTCAAGCTAACCATCCAACCATCTTAGATATCAAATGATGGGTATAATGTGGACATGATGCAATATATATATAAGTATATATATATAAGTATATATATATAAGTATATATATAAGTATATATATATAAGTATATATATAAGTATATATATAAGTATATATATAAGTATATATATATATATATAAGTATATATATATATAAGTATATATATATAAGTATATATAAGTATATATATAAGTATATATAAGTATATATATAAGTATATATATAAGTATATATATAAGTATATATATATATAAGTATATACATATATACACATTATATCAGTATATAAGATATGCATGGAATGTTGGATGATCAAAGGTGGGATCTTGGGGCACCACTTGGTACTCTATTTCCAGCCAAAGTCAGTTGGATGGTTGTTCCTACGAATTGGGAATGGAACGTCATGAATAGCTGGATCAATAACCAGTGTCCAAATGTCCAATTCATTTTGCTTGGTTCTCTCCGGATGTTAAGCTGTCTATATCCGTCAATACTTCAGGTATAGGCGCAAAATGTGCGTGTACACATGAATCGCAAGCTGGTTCCAAAGCGTTCACCCCAACGGGATGAAATGGGTCTGCCTGAATATAGGATGCCAAAGTCCAATGGTTGACCATCATTTCCAAAGCAAAATAACCGTTATTTGCTGCGTTTTGGGTTTACAAAGATTTTCCGACACACCCCAAATGGGGATGGGTCAAAACCCTGGTACCTAGTGAACCCCAAAATAGCTGGTAAATGGATGTTCATCCCACTAAAAATGTATCTATAGGTATTGACCCATACCCAAATGGGTTCTGCAGCACTCAAAACGACCAAGTCCATGGAACCTTTTAGTAGCTAATTGCTGAGACATGGCAGCCACGCCCGGGGATTCTGTGACCTCTAAAATCATTCAATTGGTGTTCCGGGTTCTTTAACTTTACATGCAATGAACATCAAATAATGCTGCTAATAGTAGCCAATAATGATTATGAAAATAAACCGGGATATCCATAGATTTTCTGGAAATGTTCCTTCCATTCACTTCTGAAGTTTGTCACTCCCCAAATGCATTGACCAAAACTGACCCTTTCACAGCTATCATGAGGGCCGACCATCTTCCCGACTATGATGGATAGGGTTTTGACAGCAGCCTGTTATTAAACATCTCAGACAGGGGACCATACACACGCATGTTAACATTGGTCATAAAGCATATACCTACGTGTGTGTCCAGGTTTCAAATGACATTTTCTATGTGGATGTGTAATTTGCATCTATCTATCTATCTATCTATTCTACCCTATTCTATTCTACTCTATTCTATTCTATCTAATCTATCTAATCTATCTAATCTATCTAATCTATCTAATCTATCTAATCTATCTAATCTATCTAATCTATCTAATCTATCTAATCTATCTAATCTATCTAATCTAATCTAGTCTAATCTATCTAATCTATCTAATCTATCTAGTCTATCTATCTATCTAATATCTAATCTATCTAATCTATCTAATCTATCTAATCTATCTAATCTATCTAATCTATCTAATCTATCTAATCTATCTATCTAT